GCAATGTATGAGAGATCCAGTTGCTCCACATCTCTAGTATTTTTGGCATTTTTTTATGTTAGCCATTCTAACAGGTATGTAGTACCACCTCATGCGAAGAGTTGACTCATTGGAAAAGACCCTGATGCTGGGAGGGATTGGGGGCAGGAGGAGAAGGGGATGACAGAGGATGAGATGGCTGGATGGCATCACCGACTCAATGGACATGAGTTTGAGTAAACTCCAGGAGTTGGTGATGGACAGGGAGGCCTGGCATGCTGCGATTCATGGGGTCGCAAAGAGTCGGAGACGACTGAGCGACAACTGTACTGAAGTGAATGGCTAATTTCATTCCAATCCCAAAGAAAGTCAATGACAAAGAATGTTCAAACTACCATAAAATTGCACTCATTTCACATGCAACCAAAGTTATGCTCAAAATTCTTTAAGTTAGGCTTCAGCAGTACATGAACTGAGAACTTGAAGATGTACAAGCGGGATTTAGAAAAGAGAGAGGAACCAGAGATCAAATTGCCAACATCTGTTGGATCACAGAGAAAGCAAAAGAATTCCAGAAAAACACCTGTTCTGCTTCATTGACTATGAGAAAGCCTTTGACTATGTGGATCACAACAAACTATTGAAAATTCTTCAAGAGATGGAAATACCAGACCACCTCATCTGGCTCCTGAGAAAACTGTATGCAGGTCAAGAAGTAACAGTTAGGGCCAAACATGGAACAACAGACTGGTTCAGGATTGGGAAAGCAGTACAGCAAAGCTGTATACTGTCACACTGGTTATTTAACTTCTATGCAGAGTACATCATGTAAAACGCTGGGCTGGATGAAGCACAAGCTGGAATCAAGATTGCTGGGAGAAATACCAATAACCTCAGATATGCAGACGATACCACTCTAATGGCAGAAAGTGAAGAGGAACTAAACAGCCTCTTGATGAGGGTGAAAGAGAAAAGTGAAAAAACTGGCTTGAAACTCAACATTCAAAACACCAAGATCATAGTATCTGGTTCCATCACTTTCATGGTAAATGGAAGGAGGAAAAGTGGAAGCAGTGACAGATTTTATTTTCTTGGGCAAACAGTGACTGCAGCCATGAAATTAAAAGATGCTTGCTCCTTGGAAGATGACCTATGACAAACCTAGACAGCATATTAAAAAGCAAGCCATCACTTTGCCAACAAAGGTCCACCTAGTCAAAGTTACGGTTTTTCCAGTGTCAATGTGAGAGCTGGACCATAAAGAAGACAGAGAACTGAAGAATAGATGCTTTTAAATTATAGTGCTGGAAAAGGCTCTTGAGATTCCCATGGACTGAAAGTAAATCAAGCCAGTCAATCCTAAAGGAAATCAGTCTTGAATATTCATTGGAAGGACTGATGCTAAAGCTGAAACTCCCAATACTTTGGCAATCTGATATGAGGAGTTGAATCATTGGAAAATACCCTGATGCTGGGAAAGATTGAAGGCAAAAGAAGTAGGGGGTGGGAGAGGATGAGATGGCTGGATAGCATTACTGACTCAATGGACATGAACGTGAGCAAACCCCAGAGGTAGTGAAGGACAGCAAAGCCTGGCATGTTGCAGTCCATGGGGTCGCAGAGTTGGACACAATTTATCGACTCAACAACAATGGCTAACTATATGGAAAATCTTGTCATGTTCTAACTGGCTCTCCTTATGAAGGAGATGACTTCATCATGACTTCTCCTTGATGAAGTTTTCTGCCCTTTTCTAACTGAATTGTTAGACATTATTGCTAGAATTACTGTTCAGCTTACAAAGTCCTTTATATATTCTACATACAAGTCTTCCGACAGATATGTGATTTGAAAATATTTTCCTCCAGTCTATGGCTTATCTTTTCATCTTTTAACGGGGTCATTCAAGAGCAAAAACTTTTCACTGTGATGAAATCCATTTATCAACTTTTTCTTCTATGAACTATTCTTTCATTGTCATGCTTAAGAACTCTTCACCTAAATGCAGGTTATGAAGTTTTTCTCCTATATGTTCTAAACCTTTTACAGTTTTATATTTTACATTTTGGTCTATCACCCAATGTGAGTTAGTCCATTGTAAAAGGAAGGAGATTTAAGTCAAGGTTTTGGTTTTGTTTTTGTTCTGCCTCTGTATGCCCAACTACTCCACCTATCCATCTGTCAACAAAAGCATGTTTCTTTCACTCAATTCCTTTTGCACCTTTGCCAAAAATCAGTTGGCCCTTACTTGACTGAACCTACTGATACATCTCAACTCTCTGTCCTGCTTCCTTTATCTACGATCTGTGTCTATCCCCTGGCCAGGACCACTCCATCTTGATTACTGTAGCTGTAAGTCAGTCTTAAAATCAGGTAACATGTTTCCTTCTAAGTTTATTCTTATTTTGTATCCCCTTAAAAATTTTAAAATCACCCTCTCTAGAAAACATCCTGCTATGACTTTTCAGGAATTAAATATATAGATCAATCTGGGTTGAACAGACATTTTTAATATGTGAGTTTTCCAATCCATGAACATGTCACGCCTGGCCCTTAAGTCTTCTTTGCTTTTGTTCATTAGCATTTTTGTGGTTTTCAGTACACAGAAATTGTATGTTCTATTGTATTTATACCAAATGTTTCATTTTTGAGCAACTGTAAATGGTATGTGTTTTAAAATTTTGTTTCCAACTGTTCACTGCCAATATATGGCAATATGATTGCGTGTATGTCTGTGTGTGTATATGACAGAAAGAAAGAGCGAGATTCTGTATTTTGACCTGATGTCTACAACTGCAAACTTATTTTCAGAACTATCTTTTGTATTCTCTAGTGTTTGTAGATTCCTTGGGATTTGTTATGTAGCCAATCATATTGTTTGCAAATGTGAACAGCTTTATGTCTTCACTCTAATCCATATGTCCCTTCTTTCCTTTTTTTTGCCTTAAGTCTTCTAGTACTAAGTTGAACTGACTTGTTGAGAGCAGACATCCTTACCTTATTCCCAAAAGCAGACTTTTATCACTAAGTATGATGTTTGCTATTTGTTTTTATAAATGTCCTTTATCAGAGTGAGATATCTTATATTCCTAGTTTGCTAAGAATTTTTAATCATGAAAGTGCTGAATTTTCTCAAATGGTTTTAAACCCTTGCTGATGGCTCCAACATCTATGTCATTTCAAAGTTAGCTTCTGCTGATTGTCCCTTCTTACTAGAGTTGCCTTTTTCCTGATTCCTTCACATGACAAGTAATTTGGAGCTGTAAGATGGACATTTTAATTAAGTAGGAATTATGACACTCTAATTTCTACTTGAATCTTTTATTTTAGTCAACCTGTTCACAGCAAGAATGTGATTCAACGCTCACTTTTGCAGTGGTGGGGGTTGTTCAGTTGCTCAGTCGTGTCCGATTCTTTGCGACCCCTTTTGTGGACTTTTGTGGACTGTGACTGAAATGTCATTTCAGTTTATAAAGTCTCTCCAGTACTCCCTGGTTTTCCCTATTTGCATGTTACCTAGATGACAGAACTCCACTTCCCATTATCCTTAGGATAGGCTTGAGTGGGGAGAAGCACTGCCTCATTTCAGCAAGGCAGACACAGAAAATAGGGTAATAAGCAGGGGAGTGGAGAGCTGTGAAAGTTAAAGTACAACCCACAGGTTGGCTGGGGAGGGTAGCACCTTATTACTGCAGGGCGAGTGGAAATCAAGAGCTCTAACCACAGGCTTCCCTGTGGAGAAACGCTCCTTCCTTTCTTCAGAGCAAAGGGGAAAGCTGAGTTTTGCCTCAGAACTCTGCAGGGTAAGGGCACCACCTGGTTAACATTGTGCAGTTGCAAAGGCCAGAGTCTCACCCCCAGGCTCTGCTGAAGAGAGCTGCCACCCTGAAACTTCTGGTGGGGTGGAAACCAGTCCTCCCTACAAGCTCTGCGGAGGAAGGGCACTGCCTCACCACTGGAGCAGAAAACAGCCAAGTCAGAGTCTGACCCACAGGATGCACTGAAGGGGGACATCTCCCTGTTACTGCAGGTGGGGGAAGGGTGCTTGTGAGACAAAGCTCTGACTGTCGATACCCCTGCTGTAATGCCTGTTGGAGTGGGAGGGGGTACAGATTTTATTGTGGTGTTCTCCTACAGAACAGACAGGATAGGATGCTTCTATCTTGCTGTGCCATCCTTTGGCTAGAGAGAACAGGCTTTCCTTGGTATTATTATTTTGTCTGCACTCATTAGCATTTTCAGGTTGTAGTTGTCTCTACAGCCCAGGCCAGGATATACGAAGGCAAGAAAAAAAGACAACTAGGGCATTCACTCAATCCATGAATTTCAATGTCCCTAATCATCTACCTTCTGTTTCCTAACTTTCAGAGTGTTCTGATAGGGCATTTTATGGGTTTTGTCCAGAATTTTTGTTTGATTAGTAGAAAGAGTAAAATAGAATGTGTTTACTTCATCTTGTTCAGAACCCAAACCCTGTCACTTATTTCCAGTCTATATTTTTGTGTTCTATCACACTCTACTCTCTAAGTTTCCAGAGGATACGAACTGAGGTTTTATTTATCTAGTAATTAATGGCCTGGCAAAAAGTATCATATATGACATATCTTAAGCTTAGTAGCTGTAAGAAAGTGATAATACAGCTTCTTGATCTTTACCCACTATTAGGTTCACAATGTATTAATAACTCTGAAGTTTGTTCATTCAATTAATACAAATCTATTTTATGAAAGCTTCTGGGGACACAACAATTGAGTAAGATAGCTAAAATTCTTGATGTGATAGGACTTACATTCTACCGGCTGGAATAGGATGGAGAAAACTGCAGGCATATGAATAATGTATTCTCTTCAGTTTGGACAAAACTTAAAAGTCTACTATATTCCAGTTAATATCAGGAACATACATTTGAAAATCTGCAAATATTCAGAAGTCTATAAATTTGCATTGGCTAAGTACCATAATTTTTTATCTTGGTACAATGGAACTTTGTTGACTTAGCAAACTAATTACCAACTACTTACCACATAGAGTTGTTTCCACAAACTGGCCCATTCTTGCAGAGTTGCTGTAACCTCAGTCACAATAGAATCTTCAAGTGGAACCACAGTTTCATACTGCCTAGAACCAAAGACACAACAAACAGCCACATTATCTTTGATAAACTACCAGAATACTGTCTACTGCCCTTTCCAACAAGTGTAAATCAAATTTAAATTCATGCAAATATAAAGAGAGGTACAGCTAACTGATTCAGACTCTGCTGCAATAATATGATAATATAAGTGAACTGATTTAATGAACATTTAGGTTTTGCTATAAAAATCCACAATATTACTTTCAGCAGTACTGTCATTAAAGATAGTTTTTAAATTTTTTTCTCTAAAGGAAGACTACAGCACTGCCCAAGACTTGCTTAATTTTTAAAAACTATTTGTGTCCTTTACATGTATCAATAATGCAAATTAACTCATGCTCTGATAGAAATGGGTTGGGTGGGGGAGACTCAGACACTGGGTTTTGAAGTTTTATAAGCTCTCCCTTATACTGATAGTATGTTTTCCTAGAAACCTGTCGAGCAGAAGAATCCTAATCCTAGTAACAGAAATACTGGGTTTTTTCCAACTACCTTGTAAGCAACATTCATTATGGCATCAATCGTCGTGCTAATTGCCAAGGATTTATCAGTGAGCAAAAATGGACAGAGTTGATATTTCAGAGAGCTCTTATTCTGCATAAAAAATTAGACAAGTAATCACAACAGACACCAACCATGATGAATCTAAGAAAGAAACCAAATTGCACAATCAGAGATTTTAGCTGGGGGACACGACTTAAAGAGAGGATGAGTGAAGTCTTCTCTGAAGGAACAGCAATGCCCCCAAAATGCAAAAAGGTCAGGATCAAAGAGTTTGTTATGAAGGAGAGGTGTGGTGTCACCTGCAGAGGGAACGGTATACAAGAAGTTACTGAGATGGATGAGAATTTCACATATCTAAGAATTTAAAGAAGTCTGCACTGACTTGAGGCCAGCTCTCATAGGGCCTCTCCAAACGATACTTAAGATACCAGATCTTAACACAGGGAAAATGAATGAGAAGATCCTAAAAGGCTGTTCAAAGCAGAGGCATGACTTGAAAACATTTTTATAATGTCTGTGCCAATTTTGAGGGTTAATGAAATATTTTCTGGGACCAAAGATTTTATATACTGATACACTGAGGTAGATGAAACCTGTATATTGATTTGTTAGCCATAAAGAATATCATCCAGGGACTTCCCTGGTAGTCCAATGGCTAAGACCCTGCATTCCCACACTCCCAATGCAGGGGGTCTGAGTTTGATCCCTGGTCAGGGAACTAGACTCCCACATGCCACAAATAAGAGTTCATATACCACAACTAACAGATCCTGCATACCACAACTAAGACCCAGCACAGCCAAATAAATAAATATTAAAAAAAAAAAAAAAAGAATATCATCCAGTTGGAAACAGCAAAGGAAAATTAATTTTAAAAATTAGCATTAAGTATAATTTCTCTACATAGCTAACAAAACCTGTGTTCAAAGGTGACTCAGTGTATTAATACTGAGCATCAATGAATATATATTACTTGATCTATGCTGTAAGGCCTTTTTATTTTGTGTGATTTATTCCAACAGATTTAAAATAGTCATCTTAGAATGATGCCAGAACACTGTCCATATTCATCAAATTTATAAAGTGAATTTTCAGTGCAAGGCTGAGATTCAAACTTGACACTATGGAAATAGAGACATGGGAGATGGGAGCTGTTTTAGCAAGATTTATGCAGAACTGCTCTATGGATAAACTGGAATAAAATTTCTGGAATGTTCCATCTACTAGGTCTTCATCTACTTTAATCATTGACTTTCATAGGAAACTTACATTGTTCCTATTTTAAAGTTCTAAACCTTTGGACTTACCTCAAATCCAAGTCTATATTAACATTAACATATTTTTCCTTGGCTATAATATAAAATCAATATCTTGAAAATCCCTAAAATTCAGATAAAGTGTTATTTAAAAACACACTGTTCCATAGACCAGGTGGAATATAGTTGTAACACTAAGAAAAATAATCAAATAAGGTGAACTAGTAAGTGGATTTCCAAGAAAATTCTGCATTCATGCAGAATAAAGTTTGTTAAAAATGAAAATTGGGGGAACTTCCCTGGTGGTCCAGTGGCTAAGACTCCTCACTCCCAATGCAGGGGGCTTAGGTTCAATCCCTGGTCAGGGAACTAGATCCCACATGCCACAACTAAATAAATAAATAATTTTTTTAAAAAAATGAAAATTGGTAGTAAGAAGATATACATATATATGTTAATAATATACACATATAAATTCAATGTATAATGCACAGAAATGTAGCTGAGAGTATGAACTTCAGAGTTACATAACTTGGCCTCAATTCCTAGTTTCCTTTCTTCCTTGTCATGCTGCTTTAGCAAAGGTACTTGAACTCTCAAAGTCTTGCCCACCTCATCTGAAATAAATGGATAATCCCATCATCTAGTGTGGAATTCCTAAGCATGATATAACAGCTAGAATCAAGATTGCTGGGAGAAATATCAATAACCTCAGATATACAGATGACACCACCCTTCTGGCAGAAAGCAGAGAGGAACTAAAAAGCCTCTTGACAAAAAGTGAAAGAGGAGAGTGAAAAAGCTGGCTTAAAACTCAACATTCAAAGAATAAGGATCATGGCATCTGGTCTCATCACTTCATGGCAAATAGATGGAGAAACAATGGAAACAATGACAGACTTTACTTCCTTGGGCTCCAAAATCACTGCAGCCATGAAATTAACAGATGCTTGCTCCTTGGAAGAAAAGCTATGACCAACCGAGACAGCATATTAAAAAGCAGAGATATTACTTTCCTGACAAAGGTCCGTCTAGTCAAAGCTATAGTTTTTCCAGCTGTCATGTGTGGATGTGAGAGTTAGACTACAAAGAAAGCTGAGCACTGAAGAACTGATGCTTTTGAATTGTGGTGTGGGAGAAGACTCTTGAGAGTCCCTTGGACTGCAAGGACATCAAACCAGTCAATCCTAAAGGAAACCAGTCCTGAATATTCATTGAAACGACTGATGCTGAAGCTGAAGCTCCAATACTTTGGCCACCTGATGCGAAGAGCTAACTCAATGGAAAAGACCCTGATGCTGGGAAAGACTGAAGGCAGGAGGAGAAGGGAACGACAGCGGATGAAATGGTTGGATGGTATCACTTACTCGATGGACATGAGTCTGAGCAAGTTCTGGGAGCTGATGATGGACAGGGAAGCCTGGCAAGCTGTAGTCCATGAGATTGCAAAGAGTCATACCTGACTGAGCAACTGAACTGAACAGTCATCAAGACAGTATGGTACCGGCACAAAAACAGAAATATAGACCAATGGAACAAGAGAGAGAACCCAGAGGTAAGCCCATGTATTTATGGGTACCTTATTTTTGACAAAGGAGGCAAGAATATACTATGGGGCAAAGATAGTCTCTTCAATAAGTAGTGCTGAGAAAACTGGACAGCTACATGTAAAAGAATGAAATTAGAACACTACCTAACATTACACACAAAGATAAACTTAAAATGGACTAAAGACCTAAGATTAAGACCAGAAACTATTAAACTCTTGGAGGAAAATATAGGCAGAATACTCAATGACATAAATCAAAGCAAGATTTTCTATGACCCACCTCCTAGAGTAATGTAAATAAAAACAAAAATAAACAAGTGGGACCTAATTAAACTAAAAAGCTTTTGCACAGCAAAGGAAACTACAAACAAGGTGAAAAGAAAACCTTCAGAATGGGAGAAAATAATAGCAAATGAAACAACTGACTTAAATTTCAAATTCAGACTTAAATTGAAGAAAGTGGGGAAAACCACTAGACCATTCAGTTATGACCTAAATCAAATCCCTTATGATTATACAGCGGAAGTGAGAAATAGATTTAAGGGACTAGATTTGATAGACAGAGTGCCTGACGAACTATGGACAGAGGTTCGTGACATTGTACAGGAGACAGGGAGCAAGACCACCCCCAAGAAAAAGAAATGCAAAAAGGCAAAATGGCTGTCTCAGGAGGCCTTACAAATAGCTGTGAAAAGAAAAGAAGCAAAAGGCAAAAGAGAAAAGGAAAGATATAAGCATCTGAATGCAGAGTTCCAAAGAAGAGCAAGGAGAGATAAGAGAGCCTTCCTCAGTGATCAATGCAAAGAAATAGAGGAAAACAATAGAATGGGAAAGACTAGAGATCTCTTCAAGAAAATTAGAGATACCAAGGGAACATTTCATGCAAAGATGGGCACAACAAAGGACAGAAATGGTATGGACCTAAAAGAAGCAGAAGATATTAAGAAGAGGTGCAAGAATACACAGAAGACCTGTACAAAAAAGATCTTCACGACCCAGATAATCATGATGGTGTGATCACCAACCTAGAGCCAGACATCCTGGAATGTGAAGTCAAGTGGGC